GTGTGTATGTGTGTGTTTGTGTGTGTATATTGAATCTTGGGGCACTAAGTGAATGTCCCCAAGTAATGAGATGAAGATAGATGAAGAATATATGTGTAAGAACATGTATTTTACTATGTACATATATTAAGAATATGTATGAGGTATATGTTAGAAGCATGTAGCAGAGCATGCAAATATACCTAGAGTATGCTAAGAAGATAATAAGGGTATTTGTTGATACCCAAGAGACAGAAGAAAGAGTTAGAAGATGATTATATGCTGGATAATCATAAGATTAAGTATGTGTGTCTAGACATTATTGGTATTGTGTAAAATACCAATATGTTATTGGACATAGATAAAAATTAAGTACATACTAAATTAAGTACTATAAGAGAAAGATTAGATGATCTCTTGATGAGATAAAGAGATAGAGTTTCCATGGGAAAATTGTTATGTAATGAGTCACACAACAAATATAAAGATGTAGAGAAAGATGGTTCCTTTGAGGACAAGAGATAGAGGTTCCTCCAGGAACAAGAGTATGGGTCATTTGGGGACAAGAGATAGAGGTTCCTCCGAGAATAAGAGTATGGTTCCTCGGGGACAAGAGAGATATTCCTTCGGGAATAAGAGTATGGTTTCTACGAGGGCAAGAGTATGATTCCTTCAGGAATGATATTATGTCCCCACAGGAATCCAGGCTGTGTAAAGATAGATAAGATAGAGAGAGGTTCCTTGAGAAGAACAAGATAAGATAGTTCTTTGTAAGAAGTTAGAGATAACCCGTGAAGGATTAAGAGTAAGGAATCCTTAAGGGGATTCAAGAGAAGTAGAAATATTAAGGATCCATGAGGGATGATAAAAGAGAGGAATAAGACCGGATGAGAATACTTGGTAATGTAGTGTGGATGTTATTCCCTTAGAGTATGATATGAGACTGGACCGTTGAGTCTAAATTAGAATAGAATGTTGAGGCATTAGATATGAGAATAAAGAAGAGAAAGAGTAGAGTAAAGTAAAAGAGATAGCGTAGAGAAGAGAAAAAACAGAGAATAAAGTAAGAGATAGAGAAGAGCCAGAGTATAGAAGAGGTAGAGTAGAGAAGATATAGAAGTAGATACAGAGATAGAGTATATGCAGAGTATGAGAAGAGTTTGAGAAGAGGCTTAGAAAGAGTAAGAGAGGGAAAGAGAAGACTGTGAGAAAGAATAGAAAGAAAGATTAGAGTAGAAGAGAAGAGACAAATGAAAGAAGTGAGAATAACATTGTATGTTATTAGAGAAAGAGTTGGATGATAGAGTATAAGAAGGAGAAGCAAGAAGAATCATAAGAAAAGATATTAAAACATATATAAATAATCTATAATTTAATTATATATTAATAATCGAAATAAAAATATTTAATCTATTTAAACTTTTAAAGTATTTGAAGTAGTTTAAAAATATACGTAATTTATATTCTACTAATTTCTATCCAATTGAAATAATTTATATTCTACATTATCAGGGACGGATGAAAAAAAGTCACATCACCCGGTAAATCAATTCCATATTTGAATAGAGAAGGCATCCATTCAAATATGGAATTGATTTCCCGGATGGTGACTTTCTTTCCTCTGTCTTGACAATATAGAGCAGTTTCTTAATATCTTGAAGACCTTGATGCAAAGTAAGAAAAGAAAACAACTAAGGTTCTATTGTATTCCGTGGTGTGGATTATTTAGAATTCTTCTAATGCTTTGGTTTTCAACAAGATATGCTCTTTTTTAATGGCGGCAGATCAGTTGGTTGTGTTTAATTGGATTAAACATAGATATCCTTTTAAAAGTAATTGTTGGTTAGTTTGGTGTATTTATCTTTACATTGTTTGTAACATATAATTGTTTTGTAATTTTCTCTAGCATCTTCCTAGTGTTTTAATACATTCACAATGTTTTAATGCATTTCGCACTTCAAAGAAAAAACTAGTAATTTCATCTAATATTCTACTTTATATTTAACTTTAGTATAATAAAAACTAAAAAGAACATCGATCAGTAAAGTCATATTTACTGTTGTAAATGTAAAGTTAAGATACGTAAATGTGTCGATTATGCAATTTTTCCTCCAGCAAATATATTATTATCAACAAAATCATATTTATTAGATCATAGGAGACATAGGACTACTTTTGTACATGTGGCACTGTTGACTTTGACTTTATAAAAAAATGAATTAAACTTATATTACTATGCGCCAAGAAAACCCCCTATTTAACGTGTACATGTGAGCAAACAGTATTCCTTTTTCTGTCTCCAACATGCCTTTACGATCCACCTCTATTCTCCTTCTGGTTTTGTTTCTCTTCCCTTCTCATTCATTTCCACTCTCCACGTCCTCCCGATGGATCGTCGACCAAAACTCCGGCTACCGCGTAAAACTTGCATGCGTAAACTGGCCGGGCCACCTCCACGTCATGATCCCGGAGGGTCTAAACAAGAAGCCGATGAAGGCCATTGTCTCGGACATTTCTCACACAATGGGGTTCAACTGTGTTCGACTCACATGGGCTACTTATATGTACACGCGTTACTCGAATGTCACTGTTTCGGAGTCACTAGATAAGTGGAACTTGACCGGCGCTAAAGAAGGTGTCCGGAAAAACAACCCTGAGTTGTTGGAGATGAGCGTCGTGGAAGCTCAGAATGTCGTCGTTAATGAGCTTGGGAAAGGGAAGTTGATGGTGGTGCTCGATAATCATGTCAGTTTGCCGGAGTGGTGCTGCGGTGAGAAGGACGGAAATGGGTTTTTCGGGGATGAGTTTTTCGATCCCGACGAGTGGTTGCAGGGTTTGGTGGCGGTTGCTCGTCGCTATAATAGCAACCCTTCGGTATGAGTTACGTATTAACTATTATTCAAAAGTTAAATGTACCCTTTCGTGTAGTTTACAAAAGTCAAAAAAGTTAAGAGTTTCTTTTCCAATGAAATATGAATACATACACAATAAAGTTTTTATGGTTGGGTTAATTGTTCAACTAGACTACACATGCTATCTTATGTATTTTTATAAAGAGGGTACAAAGGGCATTTATATTTTTTGTACAATCGACATACAATAAAACTCAATCTCCCAACTTTTTAAGTAGGACAAAGTGACAAACATCTTCATTTTTTGTTTAGTTGATCAAATGTTAGTTCAATACATGCTAAATATAGTACATGGTCGTATCTCCTATCATGTCTTGTAATAGGTAACAAAAGAACGTATTAAAAAATTTAGTTAGATGATCAATAACTATGTTTTATATGGTAATTGTTAGAGAGTTTATAACAACTTTTTTATTTGCCTTAGGTTGTGGCGATGAGCATGCGAAATGAACTACGGGGCCCACATCAAAATGTGGCGTCTTGGTATAAGTACATGCAACAAGGTGCGGTTTCTATTCATCAAGAGAACCCTGACATTCTTGTGATTTTTTCGGGTTTGTCATATGATACAAACCTTAAATTCTTGAAAAGTGAACCCTTGTCGATCAATTTGGATAACAAGTTAGTCTTCGAGTCACATTGGTACCCGTTCGGCCAACCATCTGATAAATGGATTTTGCAGACGAATGAATATTGTGCCAATGTGACCAAATGGTTCATGGACAATTCTGGGTTTTTGTTTCTTACAGACAAAAACTCAGTTCCTCTATTTCTAAGTGAATTCGGTTTAGATCAGCGTGGTGAAAATGAAATGGAGAACCGTTATTTCATTTGCTTGTTGATGACAATGGCTGAAAACGATATTGATTGGGCGTTATGGCAGCTACCGGGGAGTTTTATGCTTAGGGAAGGGGAAGTTGAAAAGGAAGATGTGTTTGGGATGTACGATTTCAAATGGAAGAAACTTAGAAATTCTACGGTACTAGAGAAGTTACAGTTTGTTCAAACGAAGATTCAAGGTATTATTTCCTTTATTTATAAAGGGTAAAATATTATATTATAATATTAAGTTAAAAGAAAAATAACAACGTACTTTTATTAATTTGTTTACTGTAACATATTTTTTTTTATGTTTTTTCTTATTATGATATTGTATTCTAAATAATATACTTAACTATAAATCCTGATACAAACCAAATTTTACTGTTACAGCTATATTGATACTTTTTTAATACAACATTACTATAAAGAAAAACTAAAAATACAATGTTCTAATCGTGTGTTTCTTTTTGAAAGCAAAATACTTTAATAAGTAAATAAAATTTAAATTACAATGTTGTTGTAACCAAAGAAATGAAAGTAGCATATGTTATAATAAAAGAATATATAAAGTGTGTAATTGTATCTTAGCACTATAAAAAACAGCATGAGTACTTATTCCAAACAATAATATCTACATTGAGATGAAATTTAATGTTAACACACTTTGTTTGTAATTTTCCTTTTCAATACTTACATATATTCTTATGTTATTACACCATAGGTAATGTTGAATCAAGCAACCAAACATCTTATATCATCTACCACCCCTTAAGTGGTAAATGTGTCAAAGCAGGTAACAACCTTTCAATGACGAAATGTATACAGGCCACTCGGTGGGACCATTTACATGATGGTGGGGCGATCCGGTTAGTGAAAAAGACGACACATTGTTTAACAACTATCAAACAAGGCTTGCCACCTATCATCTCTGATCACGAGTGTTCGAGTCCTCAAAGTTTATGGAATGTTGTTTCAAGCTCAAAACATCATTTGGCTTCAAAAGATATCCAAGGGAATGATGTTTGTTTAGAAGTCGATCTTTCTACTTCAAAAGTTGTCACTAACAAGTGTTTATGTCTTGATGATAATTTGAGAGATGTTCCAAAGTGTGAAGAAAATCCACAAAGGCAATGGTTGAAGCTCATTCCAACTAATTAAGAGGTATTAAATATGTTCATGAAACTTAATTCTTACTTTTTAGGGTCAGGGTAACTAAGATTTTAAGTTCTTACAACAAAATTGACTTTTTAAGGTGGATGTAATTGTATATAACTTTTAATCACTTGGTTTTAACTAATATCTAATATTATTTGTTCTAGTTTATGAATGTCATGTAATCTTTTCACAAATGCATATCCAAACACTCAATTATATCATTGTCGATGATCATGCTCCTATTGAACAATGACGGATTCACATGAAATATACGAACTTTAAGATAATTGTGGCTTATGATTCGTATTTATAATCAATAGATTATGATCCCGATTTTAGAAAGCAGTTATTTAAGCTCTAATTTGATTATTTTTGTTCATGTAACAAAATCTTTGCCTCTAAGCTTAGGCATTCTTTCACAATCAGGCAGCCTATCTAGAATCAAATATTAAAGCCCAAAAATTCACTTGAGTTGACAATTACAATGTGGGCTTTTATGTGATTAGGGACTCCAGTATTAAATATTTTGGTTGGACATTTTGTGCTTTGTTCAGTTGCTGTCGATCTAAGAGGGCCCACTTAGGGAGGAGGGAGTTGTTCCCTCTCAACCCACCCAACCCAATGAACCAACCGTCACATCAGCTTTTCTTTTTGATTTTTCTTCATCTTTCCCAACCCACAACACACGGAAATCCTATCTTTCTCAACCCATTCAACCCACTCAATTAAAAAAAATACAAAATAATCAAGGTAAAATCTTAATTAGCAATAGAGTTATCGCCGGTACCACTCTCTCTTTAGCCGGTTGTTTAATTGGTTTCACGAACCCACTTCATCCTCTCTCTCTCTACTTTCTCTCTCTCATTTTCTCTTGTACCGTGTGTTTTAAGATTTGTACCTTTGTTGTTTAGTATTTTTTTTAGTTGAGTGGGTTGAGTGGGTTGAGAAAGATAGGATTTCCGTATGTTGTGGGTTGGGAAAGATGAAGAAAAATCAAAGAGAAAAACTGATGTGGCAGTGGGTTCATTAGGTTCGGTGGGTTGGGAGGGAACGACTCCCTCCTCCCTAAGAGAGGAGGGAGTCGTTCCCTCCCAACCCACCGAACCCAATGAACCCACTGCCATAGGGAGGAGGGAGTCGTTCCCTCTCAACCCACCGAACCCACTGCCACATGAATTTTTCTCTTTTGTTTTTCTTCATCTTTCCGAACCCACAACACACGGAAATCATATCTTTTTGAACCCACTCAACTCACTCAATTAAAAAAAATACAAAACAATCAAATGTAAAATCTTAATTAGCAATAGAGTTATCGGC